CCAGTGATGGCAAAAATAACAGGGAAACAAAGGATGCTTCTCACCACTAAGCCATTGAAGACTCCTTATCCCCATTCACTTAATTCTGGAGGCATCTGTGCCACAGAGATTAAGGTTTTGGCATTCCCTCTGAAGATATTAACACTGGCCAACCCTTCTGCAAGCTCTGGCTGACCACTCCTCACCATAATTCAGCTTTGGACTCCACCAGGACTCAGCCAAGGAGTCTTTTTTCAATACCAGAGCTAAGTTGTGCGGATGTACCGCTGAGCATGTACCGGCTACCTTTCCTCCTCACCACTGCAACATGCTTAGGATTGGCTTGAAAGGGGAGTGTGACCACAGAACAGAGGAGAGCTGGCATGTTATTCAGCCTGCAGTAGCACATTCACTGCTCAGGACTTACTTCTGAGTAAAAGTGCAGGGAGGCAAGCCGCAAATAACTTGGGCTGCAGTCCTATATACACTTTCCTGGGAGTATGTTTAATGGGGCTCACTTCTGAGTAGACATACATAAGAGTGCATAAATGAGCAGTATTTATCTGCCCCCTTCCAAAAAAACCAACAACACCCCTTTCTGTTTTTTATAATTTGTGATAATGGGCACTGACCAACAAAATTCTTTCATTTGCAACTGTGTGAATCTACTTTTCCCAAAGCATTGGGGAAGGAAGAGGAGAAAAGATAGTCTCTTGATTGCCAGTGTTATGCTAAATACATTTCAGAACCTTCATTACCTACCACTGTGGATGGAACAAAGAAGAGTAATAAAAACCTCATGGAGGGAGAAAAAGTAGGCAGGAGACTGAGAACGGGCCACAGAAATTCTCACTTTCAGAGCATTTCAGAGAAATCGGGGAATAGGGGATACAGGGTGGAAGGAGTATTTATACTTCTATTACCCATCTCAGGAGAGGTGGCTGTGGGCAGTTTCTTGCTTTTTAAAAATGTGGCACTTATTGAAAAGTGTCACGTTTGCCAACAGAACATGAGGTGCTCTGCACTTATTCCTCCAGCACTTCCTGGAATGTAATATCACAATTCTTCTTTTGGTATAATCTGCTGCCAGCAGCTACCCAGGAGAAGCTAAGGGTGGAAGGAAAAAAAGACATTTATGGAAGCTACTTAGACCCTTTGCTGTGTTGAAGCTACTGAGCTTCTGCAAAAGCCAACCATTCTAGATGCTGTGTGCAACACCAGTATATCACAGGAAGCTCTCCTTGTGCTAAGGTCTCTTAGTCACTAGAAAGCTACTGGGCTTAGAAGGAAGCCTTACATTAACACAGCTGGTGTCACTGGAGCAGCTCGAACGATTTGGGGCACGTGCCTTCTAATGCCACCTATACCCATGCCCATGGACTTTTTAGAACCACGCACAATGTACTGGTGAAGGATGTAGGAGTCTCACAGGGAAGTTAAAATGGTTATAATACCAATATTTTTTGGCCACAAAGAGATTGCATACATCATGCACAAAATGTCTGTTGTGTTTTTTAAGAAACTCACAGTACAAAAACCTGAGCAAAACCACTAAGTACCAAAGAGATGTTTGAACAGATGAGCATGCAACACTTGGGAAGCAGGTGGAACCCAAATGGACTCAGAAGTCTGCGGGGAGGATGAAAGAGAAAAGCATCTGATCTGGAGGCTGTACGTGTATGAAGGAAGGCAGAAGGAATGGGTGCTTGCTGCAAAGTAGAAAAAACTGCACTTGTTCTTGCAATAGGGTGGTGAAATGTGGTTTGCTTCCTCCCTTTCCCCACCTTCCAGGTTAGAGAAATGGAGGAAAAGATCTACAAAGAGCTCCACAAGCTTCGGATATGCCGAGAGGTGCCGGAAGCATTGCAAAGCCTCTTTCCAAGTAAAGGTAATATGGTCAGGAAGCACCGTAGCGTGATGGCAGAGCACTTCTCTGTGGTGGTTGTCAATTTGAAGGGGACCTACATGTGAACGGATGCATATGTCTAAGGCTCCCGCCATGGGGACAGGAACCCTGGCCAGTCAGTGTCCAGCCCCCATAAAAGGACCCCTATATGGAGTGCTTTTTGGGGGGGGGGGAAGGTGTCGGAACTCACTCCCGGTGTGTGCAGTAAGCACACACACCAATCTCAAGCCCAAGCCACTATCTCTCACCATCAGAGAGCAGATAGCAGACACAGTAGCAGCCTGAGGCACTATGTTAATGAAGTTTGCTGCTGATCTGCTAGTTCAAAATCACTTCCTAAAATCCATTGAAAAAAAGGTGCCAGAACGCCTTCTATGACAAAAAAAGCCCTACCTATATGCATACAACTGTATTTGTATAGGCCCTGCTCCAGAGTGACTGAGAACATACAGTCCAGCATCCTGACCTAGTCCACATTCTTTCATCACCCCCTTCACACATTCATTCGGGTACTGAATACTTGAAGCCCTTGAGGAGAGCTTGAATGAAGTTAAGTTGGACAGAACTTCTGGGCTATGTGAGTGATCCCTGTGGGTTTACTTTCTCTGCTTCTTTACTTCCACTGCTGCTGCTGCTTGTCAGCAGTTGCTGGCCACTGTGTGAAAGTAGTGCTGGACTAGAGGGATCCTTGTCTGATTGGCATCAGGGCTCCTCCTGTGATCTTCTCATTCATGATATGAAGGTGGCACTTCTAAGCTGCCTTTTTTGTGTGCTGGGACTACATCTAGTTTCTTGTGTGGGTAACTTGTGGCCCTCTAGATGTTTTGGCTTATGATTCCCATGATCCTCACCATTGACTATGCTGCCTAGGACTGATAGGAGTTAAAGGCCAAAACATGTCAAGGGCCATGAATTGCCCACCTAAAAGCCTAGAGAGAACAGGCCCACATGTCAGTTTTACTTAAGGCAAACAGTTCATTGTAATATCAGTCCCATAACATGCTTTTAACCATGCCTTTGCATACAGTACTATTTCCCAAGAATAATTTAACTGATTTATTAACTCTCCCTTTTCTGCTCTTCTTTTTTGTTCAGCTGACATGATTCTTGAGGATAAAAGGAACTAAAATGCCCATGACAATACTACTTCAGGCTTGAAAAAGAAGACAGCACGGTGCAAAGCTTAGCAGCATGTTTTCATCTGGCCACTCTTGCGAAACGTGTCTCTTTCTGCCACCCATGTGATGGAAAGGCAAACTGAGGGACCCCATGGAAACTGTGGGGGAGTTTGCATCAACAACCAATTTTGTGCTTGATCTCAGAGCTGTGCTCACCAGGCCACACATCACCAGGCACAGTAACACCAGAGGGGAACAGCCAGTGGGGCACACCAATTCAGTGATCCCAGGGGCCCTAACCATAGTAATTTTTCCAGTAAGCACATCTTTTTCTTCTGATTAAATGGATGTATGTTTCTTCTGGGAATTGTTTTTGTTTTATGCTGGATTTTCTCATTTTTATTGCACTTTTTTGGTAGGCTGCCTTTTGTTTCTTTGCAAACAGGTAGGATATGAATGAGTGTAAGCCTCACCCTGAGTGTTTGCTGCTATAAAATGTGGTGACAACCAAATCACATTACAATATTTTCTCTCATTTTTTTTTAAACAGAACAAACCTAGCCTGGAAGAAGTAAGTTTAAATGGAGGAAGGGCTTAGAGGGACTAAAACTTCTTCCACCTAGCATTTTCATGTTGCTTTCAATGGCAATTTTGAGGAGAAAAGCAATCTAATAAAAAGAATTATAGCATAATCCTATATCAAAATGTCCAGATGCTTATCTGCATACAATTTGCAGATAACGCCATATATACATAGCCTAACACCTGCAGCCTTCTTGGTGGTTTTTTGTTGTTGTGTTTTAAGACCAGGAAAAGTTATAGGAATCTGTATATAACAGCTTGACCACGAAGGAAGTATTACTGGGCAGTTTTACTTGCCAACTTCCAGAAAAGAGCTATGAGCTGGGTGACTTTTGAAATTACTAAAACAAAGAACTACATGAGCATTCACTTTTCTCTTTGCATATGCTTTTGTTGGTGGGATGGAGTTGGAGGATTTAATGATAAAGGATTTTATCTAATATTAGTCTAACTTAAGCCCAGTTCATTTCAGTGAATCTACTCTAAGTAGTACCATCACTGAATGCAATCTCATGTCCTGACTCCCTGTACTGTCCCTTATAGGCAGCTGTCATTTTACCCCTGTAATGAGATAGATTAAAATTGCCCATAAAATTCGGTCTCTGGTCCAAAAGCCTGTCAGTTCATAACATTCTTATGGCCCAACGCATGCGTGCTGCTTGTTTCATTCTCTCACATTGTTCAAGCGCGGAACAATGGAAATCTGCTTTCATCGTTCATAGTCTATTAGCTGTCATAGACTCATTATACATAAAGACTGACGTCCATTATTTGGAATCGTGGCTTCCAATTCCTTTTGACACCTCCCCCACCCAATCCAAAGACAGAAGCAGATCTTATTTCACGCTGACATTTGATTTATATGTGTTTAGTTTGAAGCGCTTTTTTAAAATAATGTTCTGCAGATGCGGGGCTTTTGTTATAATTTCTATATTGCATAGGAATGTGCTGTGGCTGGGAGAGGACGACTTACGACAGCCCTGCAGTACAGTCCGTTGTAAGCATGCATCTACGAGAGCTAATAAACCGTTCCAGTTCTCTTTTTACAACAATTCAAATTATTATATAATGCACTAAAATGCTTCAGTGGGAGTAGTTCTAGCTGCCCTCAGTTATTATCGTCGGTGCTCATCAAACACATCTTAGGCTACAGCAAAATAATAATATAATACAGCGTAGTTAATTTCGCCGCGCATTCACTTAAATGCACACACACGACTCCTTTGCAGCTAACAAAAGTGTCAAGTGAAACTGGAATCTGGACACTTTTGCTTCCCTCTATACTTTTATAAGTCTCTATCTTTTCTGCCACTTACTATGGTTGGATAAAAGGATGTGCTTCCGCGCACGGCGCGTCTATGCAACGTCACGAGGTGAGTGATTCGACAATTCGTTGGGCAATTCGGTCTAGAAAAAGGGGAGGTGACGGGAGAGTCCATCTGCGCAGCCGAGCTGAGGGGAGGAGAGGGAATGAGAGCGAGAGAAAATGGCGAGAGGCTCACATGAATGAATGATGGAGATGTACAGGGGTTGCCACCCGTCAGGTATGTAGGGTGCTTTTAGAAATTAGTGATTTTAAATTTGTTTTTAAATAAAAAAAATAGAGCGAGAGCTTTTAAAAATTAGTGATAGCAGAAGTCCCAAACTTCCCCATTTGAACTGCCCCTGCCTTTGCTACAGGAATTAGCAGAAGGTGTAGTAGCAGAACTTTAATGCAGAATGATGCTTGGTTACTCCGCTTCTGTGGGTTAGGCTTAGGTCCGCCTAGAGAAATGTATTTCAGGAGACATTTAAGGACACAATCTTATGCATGTTTACACAGAAGCCCTACAACTCCCAGCATCCCCCAGCCAAGGTGGGAGATGCTGGGAGCTGTAGGGCATCATTCTACCTAAACATACATAGGATTACACCCTGATAAATATTCTGAAATAAATCCAGTGGGACATGGTCTTAAAGAGATGTGTACAGGTGGGCAAACTTATGAAAATATGTCTTTTAAAAAAATTAGTTGCAGGTTGCATTAGCTTGTATTGAGTGTTAGTCAAACCCAAGTCCCATGTTCAGTGGGAATTCAAACCATGATCTATGGAAACCTTTGTATTAGGAATGTATACATAGAGAAAAGAATTCTAATACTCCCATGTATATTTTTCTGCCTAAAAATGTATAGGATTGCACCCAAAATAAATCATACTCAGCCTTTCTTCCCTGAGACCCATGACAGTATGCTTAAGTTCCCATAGAGTTTTCCATGCAGACACTGCAGGCTTAGTAAGGATAATGTCAGTTACTCAAGCAGAGTTAACAGAAAGCCATTCAAGATGGGATGAGACAAATGTCCCTTGGGTAAGAATTCCAAAATCTGAATTGCTGATGCTAAGGAAGTAATTGCTTGTTCCAAAATAATGTTCATTGGGAGAAGGTGAGGTACAGTAGGGGATCTGCATTCATGAGCTTGAAAAACAAGCAGCAAGAAGGCAAGACTTCAGATATCATGGTACCTAAGGACTTGTAAGGTCATTACCAGCAATTTGTATAGAGCCCTGAAACAAGTTATAAATCACTGTTTCAATAAGGGTATCACATACTTCCGGTAGGCTGTCCCTGTGAACGACCTGTCACCAGAACAGCTCTGTGTTTATTCTGGTGACTTACGAATTATCTGAGAACACTGATGACTTGGCCTTTACTTCATTAATATACTCATGCCACAATAAATCTGTTGATCTTTGAGATACCGCAGGTATTTTTCTGTTTGCCATATTGTAGCTGACACTCTATTTTTGCAAGTGCTCTCCAAAATACGGATGGTTTTGAAACAAGGTACTACTATGAAGCAATACGTTAAGCAAGACATGTCTCCATGCTTGTCCTGCAGTGTAAAAGAAACAGACGGTTGATTTCAGCTCTGTGTCTTTGCCACTGTTTGGGATGAGGAGAGCCTGAGAGTATGACCATTCAGACTTCGGAGCCACAGCCCTATGCAAAGAACTGCGCCAGCTGCAAGGGCAGAAGGAGGGCACTCCAGACAGTTCCAGCTCCACCTAGAAATGCCTTTCCAGTGTCGGATCTGGGATTCCAGCTTCTCCTGTGATTGTCTAGACAGCATTTAGAAGCTGTAGGTTTGTGCCCTTCATGTACTTTAGAGTTGCATGCCTTTATGTCCACATACTAATGTAGATTTTTTTTTAAATAGCTGATATAAGAACAAGTTATAATTGCTTCTCCTAAAACTAAGTCAAGAACTGGAAAGATGGCTTCAAACCCTTCTGGACAAGGTAAATGTTAATGTTTGGTAATCTCCAATTTGGTATGTTGAGAAGATGCTAGAAATTCTCTTGTGGTTTTATTTTAGAATGGAACGAAGGCTTTCTGCTTTGTGCTTATGTGAAATAAAAACAAATGATACATCAGCATTTTATGCTAAAGGAACCTTTTAGCATGTTTGCAGTGGAAAACCCTAATACATTTCCTTGTGGAACCTTTTGGCATGATCAGAGGTTCAGCATCTTATATTAAAATTTTACAAGCTGTTCAATTCCATTAAAAGGCCCAGGAAGAGGTAAATCATTCTGATTCAGAGATACATGTGCATATGCCAGAAGTGATGTTTGTTTATTTGGTCCATACCAAACTGGCAGTTATATCTTTGATTTGGATGGAGATATGCATTTAAAACCAAGTTATATATCCAGAAATAGATCAAGGACAGAGATTTCTAAGTATCTTTTTATGATGTGGCAACTCACTTTTATGCTTAAAATTGAATACATCCTGGCTTCATAAGCTTAGTTTGTCTCTGTTTTCCTCCACACATGAATTAGGCCACTCTTCCAGCATCAGTGCTCTCCTCAAGATCACATTGTGGACCTTACCTCTAATTATGTCTATTTATATAGCACTTCTGGTTGATGCTTGGAACACTGCATAAAAAATAAAATGACATAGAACATGTTTTGGTTTTTTTAGTCTACAAGTCGTGCCCGACCCTTCATAACCCCATGGACAACATTCCTCCAGGCTCTCCTGTCCTCCACCATCCCCCGGAGTCTACCCAAGCCCACACCCTCCATCCCAGTGACGCCATGTAGCCATCCCAACCTCTGCCATCTCCTTCTCCTCTTGCCTTTAATCGTTCCCAACAATAGGGTCTTCTCCAGTGAGTCCTTCCTTCTCATTAGGTGGCCAAAGTATTTGAGTTTCAACATAGAACATAGAAACATAGGGGGAAAAATGAGTCAGAAGGGGTCTCCCAGGCCATCTAGTCTGACCCCTGACTCCACTCATGTTATCTCCAACCTGTGGTTGTCCAATCTTTCCTTGATCACCCTCACTGAGGGGGCCTCAATCACCTCCCTTGGAAGCCCATTCTATAACCTATGGGTTCTAACCTTCAGAAAGTACTTCCTGACATCCAACCTGAAGCATGGTTCCTTGAGTTTTGTCCTAGTGGAACACATCCTGCCTTTCACTGCAGGGAAGAACAGGGCATGGCCCTCTGCCACATCACATCTCCTCACATACATATAAGTCACTAAAAGATCCCCTGGTGGTCTCCTCTTCTCCAGTTCCCGCAATCTCTCTTCATATGTCATCCTTCCCAACCCGCCTACCATTCTTGTGACCCTGTGCTGAGCCAATTCTAACCTAGCTATGTCTCTCCTAGAATGTGGAGTCCAGAACTGGACACAGTACTCTAGTTGTGGGTGCATGAGAATTGTGTAGAATGGTATCAACACCTCCCTAGATCTGGAAGCCACACTTCTGGCTATACACCCAAGGGTGGCATTTGCCTTCTTAATTGCTGCTCATACTTCTGGTTCATGTTCAGCCTGCTGTCCACAAGTATTTATACATAAATGAATGAGAGAAAAAGGATGCAAAGGGATATTACACAAATATAGCATATAATTTTAACATCAAACAAATTCATGAAAAAGCCAACATTTCGATTGCCTCTAACCATAGTTAAGTCAATCAATTCTTAATCAAGGTTCCCATACAGATTGGTCTAATTTATCAAACTAATTGCAGATAATATAATTTTAGCACTGAAGTAAAACCACTAACAAGATTTTTACAAATTCTGTTTTTTTAATATTAGTATAATTGCATATAATAGACTTTCCATGTTTTCATTAAATTCTTTGGAATGTCTTTTATTTATATAATTGGTTAGCTTTGCCATTATAGCATACTTGGCTAGCTTGTTTTCCAATCTCCACTAGTTAGACACTTTCCACTTTGATGTAATTGTCACTCTTGCCACTGTTATCATATTTAAATAACTCCAGCATAGTCTTTGGAAAAGTCTCTGGTATAATAGTAACATATTTTTAGCATTCATTGGAAACTTAATTTTAAGAATTTTCTGCATTTCCACATGTATCTGTTTCCAAAATCTTTTGCTTTTATCACATGTCCACCACATATGGTAAAAAGGCTCATCTACTTCTTTAAGCCTGGAGGAATGTTGTCCTTGGGGTTGTGATGGGTCGGGCATGACTTTGCGACTAAACAGAAAAAAAAACTTCTTAATATTTTCCATTATAATTCTTATCCATTTTCTGTTTATCCTTCTGAGTAACATACCACAGAAAGCACATCTTATACCAATTTTCTCTTAATGCTTGTCTGGCTGTGAATTTTATATCCTTCTTCCATTGGACTTCCCATTGACGGGATGATATTTCTGCATCCAACTTTTCATGCATGTTTTGACTTGTTGAGTTTCAGTATCACATTAGAGTAAATGTTTATGCATTCATCCTAGTAGATGGCCTTTTTGATGTTTATTCATTGTTTCAAAAAATGTTGGGCCTCTTACTGTACCTTCACCCAATTGGGTTTCCTTTTTTAATCTTGAAATTAATTGATAATGAAGAAGCCATTCTTTGTTTGTTTCCCTTCATCTTTTAATCCTTGCCAAAGCTTGATTCATCCTTGTTGAGCAACCATGTTTCCATATATTATAAAGTCATTGTTCTTCCTTAAATATTTTCCATAGTATGCTTCTATTGGAGACATCAAGGGAGAATTGGAAGACTGATTCTCTGGAATACTAAATTTTTATTAAGCTGCCACTAAATATATGGCTATTAGTTGGTGTCAGAGCTTTTTTAATAGGTTCATTTGTCCATAAACCTTTATGTCTTTATTCCTGCTTTAAGATCTACTATTTAAAATGGCTTTTTGCTTTATTTTGGAACTTGTCTTTGACTCAACAGTTTCGCATTCATTTTGCTAAACCATAATATGTAAGTGAAGTCTGAAAGAGCATTTGAGATGAGGTCTTCCACTGAAGGGGTGGGGCTGTGCCAACACCTTCAGGTGCACTCAGATGGGATTCTAATTGCTGGACACTCATTGCTGGACACTCTAGTCCTGTTCAGGCAGGAGAAAGGGGCTGTAAGAAATGGTACCCCAAATTCTGATCATGTGGAAGCTGTGTGCAAGCAGCTGCTCACACATAACGTTTCCTTACTGTGATATCCATGCCAATACATGCATGCCGGGGCAGGGGATGGATCCAGTGCCATGAAGGATTGCAGGGGCGAGTCTGGAAGTGTGGCTCCCCTTTCTTCTCCATGTGGAAGTTTAGATGTGGAAAATGCCCAAGAAAGGCTGTTGTGTGACGGTCTTTAACATCTTTAACACCTTAATGGAGTCTCTGCAATATCAGGGCCTTCCTTCTAGACACCTTCACCTATCAGACCGACAAACTGTTTTCTAGTATTAAGTATTTGTCACCAGACCAGGAAAATCTAATTCTTTTCTCCATTAGCCTAATCTAGTTAGGTGTCTTCTTGAGCTTCTCTAAATGTGTGTGATGATTGCATCGTGTGTGCTGCTTTTCAGCCACAGAATTCTAATCACGGTACTTTCCCCCCTCCCCCCCTAACATTTAGCAACATTTCTCAATTAATGACTTTGCTTCAGCTAATAAAGAGAAGATGAACTCCTGCTCTTAGCTTCTGACCAACTATAATGCTGTGCCAATAAAATGATCAGTCAAAATGATGCTAGGGATGATCTAATCTAATGAATTACCTGTTTTTTCCCAAATTTTCAGGTAATGGGCACAGAAGGGATTGCAGGGTGGGAAGAACATTTTTGAGTGCTTTCTCACAGATAAACTAAATTGTTTATGGGAGAAGGTTCTAACCTAGATTTTTTTCCTCTCCATATTCTCTCCATATAAACTGTTTTTTTCATGGTTAGAACATTTTTATGTGGAATAGCAGTCAATTGTGAAATATCTCCCCTAGAGTCCAAAGTGGTATAATTTGCCATTGTGTCTCAGGACATTAGGCCTCCTTGGGCTTGTTAGTTAAAGGGTAATTGATAATTAATTGGATAAGAAAAATTTATAAACCTGAAAGGGCTGTAGTGCATAAAATTTCTGAATGTGCTTTTTTTTGTGTGTGTTAAACAGCTTTTTCTCTCATCAGCACTGAATATCCTGTATAGCATTTAAAAAAAATGAACTGATTTGTTAGCAGTTAGTTTTTGCCACATGAAAGTATATGGAGAGATGACCATGATTAGCAGAACATTTCTTGCTTCTTTAATATGTCTTGAAGTGATTTCTTGTCAATTTATCCTGTTCTAATTTAAAGTTACAGAGCATTTCAGAATGTTGTGCTCTTCACATTGGGTCATGTCAAAAAAAAGGGTGGGGAAAGATATGTTTTTAGTTAGCATTAAAATCACTAATCCTAAGGCTCTAAGGGCATTAATTAGTGCATATATACAGATTTCCACAAGGACTCCGTATCCGTAAATACAGGACTGTATCATCATTATCAGAAGCAAGTAAAATATTCATACTTTAATAATTCAAGGGAAATTTAATGAGCAACATGCATTTTCCTTAATTGTCGCTGAATGTGTGAGAGAACACACCCAAATGCAAATCATTCTTAGAAAGGGATAGAGAACTGGCTTGTTGATTGAGATTGTGTTAGACACAATGAGGTTATTATAAATGGTGCAGTGAGTCTGTGCCACATGGCATAGAAATCTATATTCTGCTTCCAAATTTGGTCCGCTTGTGTGTGGATGATAAGAGTTCGGAAACTGTGTGATCTTGCTAGGCAGAACAGGTATCTACCAATCGGCAGAAGACCCTGCCTTTCTGACAAATACAGCAAGTAGACATTATCTGCCCCTAAAGTCCCATGGGCCCCTGAGAAGCACATACACCTTTCCAAGGAAGCTCCTGCAACCATTTTGGGAGCAGAGCTTGGCTGAGGGCTCTGCTGATCTCTGCCCTGGAAGTGATGGTTGGCCGCTTCAATGGACTCAAGCTGCAAGGGAGAGCATGGCTGTCTGTATTGAGCTCCTCAGACCAAGACCCACTGGGAGGAATCCTTCCCAGTAACCTGTGCTTCCAGATGAGAGTGGGATAAGTCGCCTGTGCGGGGTGAGGGGCAGAGTAGAGATAGAAATCTACGTAGGGGATCCTGTTAATCAGCATCTTGTTTTGTGAATATTTCTCTTAGAAGAACTCCGTAACCAGGCTTGGGAAATCAGTGCATTCTTTGCTCTGCTCAGCTGCTCTGTGTTTTTTGTATAGCAACCTACTATTGAGGAGAAAAAAGTCCTTCTTGTTTGTTGTCTGACTGTGAGAGGAACAGGCAAGACCAGCAAGTCATTTTATATAAAAAAGACTCTTCGTCGTAGGTGCACCTACAAATATATGGTAAACCCGTCTCCAGTTGGGACCAGCTGCTACAGTCATCCCACACAGCAAATTTAACTTTTTGTAATGATTAGTAACAGAAAACGCCATAGCAGGAGATACTCAGTTTTTGTGCATGATTATCTTGACCCAGACTTTTTTTTTTTTTTTAGGACGTCTGGTGTCAAAATATCTGCCTCCAGGCTGATCATTATAAATTCTGACCTTCCTGACAGAGATTTATTTTGTATTTTTGACCCTCTTGAGTCTCTCCAGTAGAACCCTAAGTAACAGACCCTTGTTGTTTGGTCATCAGAAAAACATATTCTTTGCTAAAATGAATTCTCTGAGCTCAGTCCTGACGCTGAACTGTGTATCTACTTGGTTGAATGCTGGACTGTCTTCCATGCCTGAGAGACTGCAGTGGACTGACACTAATTGTGATTAGCTTGCAAGTGCAGAGAAAGTCATTTATTTAGAGAGTGTATGGTGGTGTATAGTTTATAGTACATAACCACCTACAGTTTCCAGGTTTATAGAAGATTTTTCTGGTCAGGCTGCATCCATATTAGCACACGAGACTTTGTTTGTTTCTTGAATATTATGTTAGACTGAAACATGCTTATCTAACTCAACACCCAGTCAACTTAATCTTTGTAAGCCCCACTTCCTCATTGTTAGTAATACTGTTTGCAAAACTTCAGTGGTGCACCTCAGACAGGAAGCATGAAAAGACTTCTTTAGAAGAAAGGCTGACTCAACACCATTTGCGCCATCGTAATGTATATAATATAGTCTATTTGTCTGACTTTTTGTCAGACATGAAGACTCAAACCAACCACATTTAGCTTGAAAGCAAAGGGCACTTAACTTGAAAACAAGCTACATTAACCAGTTTGGATCTCCTTAGTGGAGATTTCAGCAGCAAGCCATCAGGTTGGGTTGGGTTGGGTTTTGCACAGCACAGGAGCCACAGGGACTGCATTCAATGGGGGGGGGGACATATTTGACATAGTCCTTTATTCTGGAATATTTCTCAAAAGGGGTCTATCCATGTGTACTATCCATGAACCTGCTAGTGCCAGTTGTTTAAACACAATTACAATTGTAGTATGTCTGCATTCAGTGGAACAGAAACTATTCAGTGCTACCAAAGAAATAGATTAGAAGCTACATGTCAGCAGCAAAGTTGCCTACTTCAGCTGCATGCGAGAAATACAATTTGCTGTAAAAGTTGCATAACACATATGCTGCCTTAAATATTACTGTCATAAATGTGGTGGATGCATTGTGCTGATTTCCAAGAGTTTTACCCTTGAGTGTGGACGCTGAATCCGTCTTAGGGAAAATCTTGAAATAGAAATATATAAACTGCATCCAAACATTTATTTCTATGCAGACAAGTGGGTGCAGCTCTTGGGCTGAGTTCTGCTAGGAACATTCCCGCTGGTGAAAAGGGCAGAGGTGCTCTTGGCTGATGCCCCTCTCCCCCTCCAGCTGGTGTTATGACCTCCAGCCTTATGGAGGGCCCTCAAATCCTCTAGAGGAGGTTTCCAGGAGACTGCAGGGGAAGAGGCAATCAATAAGGATCATCTTCCCCTTTTCACAAGTGAGATTCCCTACTGGATCAGAAGCATCTTGTAAACAGAAGGAGCACCTCCCTCAGTGTGAGAGTTATGCTGAATCCAACTCCATGCTTTCTGAAAGACAGTATTTGGCACTTCTTACATCTCTCTCCTAATCTGAATTCTTCAATTTGTTCCTCCTGCCCTGCTCTTATTATATTACTGAACTTCTTGCTAACTCTCAGAACTCATTTTTTTTAATGGGCTACAAATTGTAAGATGATATCACATTCTTGTGGGTGACCCAGGACTATGTACAAACTTGATTTTTATTTCTTCTATTTATAGCTATCTTTTCAGCCAAACTTGCTGGAATCAATAGAAGTATATTGTTCACATCTTGTGCAAATTATGCTTGCAGATGTTTTCTGTTTGTAGACTAAACCAGGCTATGTTGCAGAAACCTGCTTGTAGTTCTGAATCCAGCATTCAAGAGTAACTTAACCTGAGTTTTCTTTTAACAGTATGCATGATATTCTTAGGAAGCTTTTTCATGTTATAAATGATGAGACAAGAAAGGAAAGTTATAAATAGGCTTTAGGGATGGTGCTCATTGGCTTTGAAGATTAATATATTCATCATAATTCACTTTGGAGAGGCTTTAAGCCAGGAAGGTTATTAACTGGCTCAAAGAAATAGCATGCATCACTGACTTCTACATTCTTCTCATTCTTGCTAGGCTTTCAGAATAAGAACAGGGTCGCAATCTTGGCTGAGCTAGACAAGGAGAAGAGGAAGCTGCTGCTGCAAAACCAGTCTTCCACCAATCACCCTGGAGCCAGGTACAGTATGTTCCTACCTTTCTGTCTCAGTCATGCTCTCTGATCAGAGAGGCAGGCCGAATGTATCTGTCTCGTATCAGCCGTGTGTGTCACTACGGGGCCCCCAACACTTGTTGGGCTGGTTGTTTCCCACACGCACCCTGGATTTCTTGTCTTTTGAGTCTTGCATTGGTCCTGTTCAGAGGAAAACATAGATGTTTTACAGCAGGGGTGTTGAACCTCTTTCATCCTGAGAGCTAAATTCAATCTGGAGAAGTAGTTGGGGGCCACCTTCCTACAGTGGGTAAAAGACATACTAAAATGTGAAAATACCAGCATATTTTAACTTAAGACTCAATTCTAGGCATATTTCAAAAGAAAAAAAGGTCTACAACTCCCACCATGCACTCTGCCTGCCAGCAATTAAACTTTAGGAGATGGATTTCAAACTTTTGGGGTGGGAAAAACATGCAGAAGTCAGAATACCACTATGCCATTAGTTTTTCTGGGGCATGGGGGAAAGAAGTGGCAAGTGTCCCCACTGGGTGAGCTAGATTTACACTCCAGACTTATAGTTCAACACGTCTACTTTCCTGTTTTTAAAATCTGTACTTACATATGTGTATATAATACTGATCCTCAGCCAAAGCGCTTTCAAAGGTGGCTTATACTTTAAAAACTCTTCATACATACTGAAATACAATAAGATGAATCATGTGTGTGAGGAAAGATGCAGGGGATTAAACCATTAAAATCTAAAGAAGATGAGATGACTTAGGCTACATATGAAAATCCAGTAAATGAATTGCAGTGGTGCCAGTTGGGAAGTCACTAGAACCTTTAATTTTCCCTTTTCCGCAGGGACCAATTTTAGAATGGAAGACAAATTAAGTATTTTGCTTCTAGAGGCTACCCAAGAGCAGTTCCCCTTCTGTAATTAGAAAACATGAAAACTTTGGAAAGTCAAGGGAATTAATTTCAGGATTTGTTGTGTTCTTTCATATACACTGTTTGTTTTTTATGTCTAGAAGTGCATACATACTGAGATAACGAAATACAATTATTCATTCTCTGAACACTCACTATTCTAATTCACCTCCAAAGTAAACTTTAGAAAGAAATCTGAGAACTAATCACCTTCCTCCCACCTGCCCCTATTGCATTCTAATCTCTGGTTTTCTTGTAATCAGGCATGAGCTGTAGGTTCAACAGTTGACAAAAACATCAGTATTTTTGAAGGTTTTTAAAAATCCATCTAGTTTTCAGGGTTCATAGGGAAATCCCAGGAATGTGACTGGGCATTTCAATCATTTTATTAAGTGTTCTAAGTGACTCCTTCCAGCTGGATTGTATTTCTGCTCCAGGCTCCCAGAGAGACATACAGCCAGTGGTTTTCAAGGCACTTTCCCTCCAGAAAGTGGCAGAATCTAGCAGTCCGTGGTATTTTATTTTTGTTTTGCTTCCCTGCTTCTCTTCTTCTGGATGCTGCAATTTATTATCATTTTTATATTCAGATCTAACATGTACATGTGTGAGATTTTATGTGGCCCCTAAATGAAAAAGCAAAACAAATGCAAAAGAATAGCTCCCTTATTTGATTTCTCTTCCTCCTCCAAGTGTGTAGCCTGGAACTTGATTTCTTGCTCATGGTGGAGTAGTCATGTTTTTGTGTACTATGACCTGTCATCATGTTGGCTACAAAGAGACCTTGTCTGGGCTCAGTCTCAGTGGGAAACTCTTTTCCTGCATACAGAGTTCTGCAGCCACTCTACCAAACATATGAACTCCCCATCATGAAGATTATGGACCCCTGGTTAGTGCTGTGGTTTTATTAAGGTATCACTTCGACAAGTCACTGGGTTGCACTGTGAGAGGAAAGAAAAGGGGGGGGGGGGCAAGTGTCATTCTATTGCATGTCTTCCACTTGAGGTCCTTTTGGTTTATGATGGGGCATGGGTTTCCTTCCTGTTTTACTCAATGTGCTATTGCTTGGCTGAGTAGGTTGGACTCAGACTTTATCTCTCTTCGACCCACAGCAGTCAACAGGATGCAGGTTCCATCAGGACTAGCTAGCTTAGGTCCCACTGGTTTCAGTGTGTCCACACAAAATAAGGCCAGATCAGGATGCAGCCCATCCGATCTGAGCAGAGTTGTTCATCCATTATGTGCACGCCTCAGTCCCGTGCTGATCGTTACCTTCCCTGCACTGCCATGACATGTTGCTGCCTTTTTTCCCTTCTTGCTTGCAGCATCTCACTAGCAAGATCTTCCCTCAACAAGGATTTTCGTGACCACGCCGAGCAGCAGCACATTGCTGCACAACAAAAGGCTGCTTTACAAGTGAGTTGTCCGGGGCACAGCAGAGACACATGGGCTGTTTGGAGGCTGTGGCCCAAAGAACACGCATTTGGAACAAAAACAAATGCACATAGTAAAAATCTAGGCGCTGGACAGTGATTGCATTGTTTAATGCTATGACAGTATACTTGGTGTGGTAAGTCGCTTCAGCTGTGTCTGTCCCATCGTGCATTCCAGCTTCTAGACGAAGTGATCCCACGCAGCTGTGTTTTCGAAAACTCCAAGGAAATACCTTTCGAAGAATGAGATGGGCAGACACAATGGGCACCAAACTAAAAGAATCAGCAAATGAAAGAATACTCAGGCCTATGCAGGGAAGTAGAGCATGGGTTGGCAGAACCTAGAAAGAAAATGCATCACGTCTAAGGTTAAAAAGTGCTCTGTATCTGGACTGGGCAAGGTGGATCTCCAGATGTTTTGCACTACGTCTCCCAAGAATTTCTAAGAATGCTACAAATTAAAGTCCAAAACACCTTGAGATCTACTTTCTTCCCATCTCAGCCCTGCATTGTGCATCTTTTCTGTCCTTGTGAAGCGGGAAGATAAGCTTTCCATTTGTACAAATGAGGAACTGAAATGAGAAGGAAGTGACTCATCCAAGGCAATCCAATGAGTCCCATGACTAAGGTGGGATTTTAACCAGTACGGACCTCAGCTGGCTGTACCCTACTGCCTCTCAAACATGAGCATTTTTCTGAAAATGCTGCCTGTCATTTAAAAATAGAAAGCTGAAATTCTGTGTATTTGGAGCTTGTAAGAACATTTGATCATTGTGGTTGATGTTGCTGAATTTATATCAGCCCATAGGATCAGTACCACAATGCTAGTCAGTCAAGACCCCTATGCTGTGACTGTGCACAGCTAGAAGATAACTAGCAGATCCAAACAATTCTTGCGCCAAGAGCAGTATTGGTGCTCAGTCATCCTGTGCCATGGAGTGCATCAGAAGCTGTGGTTCCTAAGAGTCCTTTTATCTTTTTACATGCTTTGGGAACAAACAACAGTGTGCCTCACAAAAGCTTAGGAATTGTATGATGATTTCATGGTGCAATTTTCTGGCAGTAGTATGTGCTACAATAAGAGTAGCATCAGTGCCTGGTTATCATATGCCAAATATACAGTGTTTTGTATTTAATTAAACGTGTGTGCTGTTTTGCTGCACCCTGTCATTCTGGAACTGAAGCAGCAGGGCAGGCCTGAAAGACTCCTAGACAACCTCATAAACTTTTGGCCATATAGTCATTGGATAAAACATTTCTGTCTTTCGCATTGAATTATAGATCCTGACTTAATCAAAACTTCAGCAGCAATTCTGCGTTACACACGGCTTGGTTCAGTGCCACAGAAACCAAATGTATTAAAGTAAGACAACTGTGTGCAAAAACGGAAATGTCGGACAGGGAACACAAATTTCCTCCAAATCTGTGCTATTGCTTTTTGACCTGCTGCTTTGGTCGGGTTGGTGGTGGGGCAGCTATCTTCTTCCTTTGGTCTGAGTGTGCCGTTTTCAGATGGGTGTGTTCTCTTTCAGCATGCTCATGCACATTCTTCAGGATACTTTATAACCCAAGACTCTGCCTTTGGAAACCTTATTCTTCCTGTGTTGCCACGACTTGATGCAGAATGAAAGCAAAGCCTTGGAACGAAGAGACATAAATGTTATTCTAGCACTGCAGTTGCTATCTTTCCAGACTTTCTGCCAGTGGTTTATGAAAATAAGAGGACTCAAAGGCAGATGTATATTTTTCTTCATTGTAATGGATCTCATTTTGGATCCAGGCATTTTGTTTTTAGGGGACATTAAAATACTTTAAACAAGTTCTGATAACTTTTTAACTTTTCCCTTTTTTCATGGCCTTTTAATCAGATATTATGTTAAGAAGTTGACAAGTTGAGAAGTCAAGAATAGTTGCTTGATTGTTTGTCCTTTCAAGTAAATTTGCCGCATGCCCAGCAAGCCACTTAAGAGCAATGCTTAGCAGGTATATAGCACTTCAAGACTGCGATTCTAGTAAGGCAGCAGTCCTCACAACTGAGTAGACATATATAGGATTGCATTCTTGGAGTGTCACACCGCTTCACATCCATTCATATTTCAGCCGTGACACTGCTGTGCCACCCTGTAGCCAAAGCTTTCTCGCCATTTTCCAAGGATTAAAAGTAATTGAAATATGCTATGCACAGTATAAAAAAGGAACTGTACACAAACAGACAGTACACACCAAGATGCATATCTAAGCAGTTTTAGACAATAGGAGTTCCATGGCCCTGCATTATCTCACTAATTCTTACAACAGCATGTTAAGGTAGGCCAGCCTTATTATCGTATACCAGCCGTGAGACTGCATCAGAAAGAGATTTGCCTAGAAGTATTTAGTCAGTCCATAGCTGAGATGTGACTGTGGAATTTCCAGGCTCATAGCTTATTCTTGTATCTGGTTTATTTTGTTAGCAACATCGATGTAGCTATTTGGTTTTGCTAGATTTTGGGCTTTCTTTTTATTATTTTATTTGAATTGGTATGTGAGCCCTGGGTAACACACACGTTGATAAAATATAGTGCTATACCTAGTAAATAAACCTGCATGAAAATAAATAATACTGAGATAAGGCAGTTCAAACATGTGTGTTTCTTTCCTTGTTTGAAGATGGAACTTAGCAAAAATCATTGTCAGTGTAGGCCATTGCAGCTCCAGCATCAATAGATGCTGCATTGCACACTTTGGTCCCCTTGGCACCTTGAAGGTGTTCTTTTTAATTATAGGTATTATTCAATGCAAGGTATTATTCAGTTCAAGGTATTATTATTCAAATGGAGCAGCAACTCTTCCTGGTGGGCCCTCAGCATATCGCAAACCAACCTTACTGTGAAGGGAAGGAAGGGCTTGTTCAAGCTCCACCAGGGTAGGCTGAAGCAAAAGGTTGCTTGGTCCAAAGAAGCCAACAAGATCAGTTGCCACCATCCTCTCCTTCCAGCTTGGCCTGAGCCGGAGAAAGCAGATTGTTCAGGCTATCTTCATGCTTAAGAAATATGGGCCCAAGCCTGCACCTTCTGCTTCCAAGTCCTAGTCCTGAAACCTTAAATGGTAGCAATGACCAAAAGGAAAAGTCTGGTTTTGTCATATACCGTCAAGCTGTCTGACTTATGGTGACCCTGTGAAGGGGTGCCCTCCAAAATGTAGGTTTTGTTGTATCTACTCAGCTCTTGTAAACCTGAACTTCATGTCAAGGCTTAATTTAGAATAAAGCGCACACTTAAAATTATAATGGGTGGTAGGTTTACTTACACAAGGGAGAAGGGATAATACACAGCAAAACAACAGTTGTTGGAAATGATGCATCAAGGTAAAACCAAGAAAGCCTACACATCTCTAAAGAAAGGTCTTCAAACAGGCAGGATGCACATAATAGTCCAAAGCAAGGAGAGGGTCAAATGAAACTGAAGACAACCTCAGCTGTAGCATCCCCTGACCCTGCTTTGCATACTCAAAGGCCTTCGCAACTGTGACAGGGGCCTCCTTAGCCTGTCATCAGCTGGCTGATTTCTCCCCGCGGGCTTTCTGTGGAGCAAAGTTCTCACAGGAGCCTAGCTGAAATCATTCAGTGTAATGGGCAAGGGTTAGGTTCAGCCTTGAGCCCCAAGATCAGAACAGAACAAGACAAGGGGATGGGTGTTTGGGTAGGCCCAGCTTCATGGAATGGAGTCTTGGCAAACCATTAGAGGAATGCAGGAAGATGGATTTCTTGCCATTTACCTTTGGCATTAGCCCTGCACCCCCCCCCATCGCAATAATATAGTCCAGAAGAGGTTTCATTTTCTTTCATCTAGACCATGATAAGGGAATTCGTCTGCCATTCTAACCAATCATTTTGTTAACAGTGAATTTCTTTAACTGAGGAAACTGCAAATGTACACACGGAATTTGTACAGTAGCACAAGGTTGCCACATTTGTGGCATGTGACCCATAAAAGCAAAATTAATAAATGAAATAAAGCAGACAGAGGACAGCTGCCCCCTTCAGGTGGGGTATGTTATTGTATACGTAAAATCTTTGAATTGGCCTGTTGACCATCAACCCCAAATTTGCCTCTTCTGACAGACCAGTGCTCTCAAAATTGGAGCTCTGAAAGAGGATTAATACTGGAAACTGGATTTCATAGCTACTCAATCTAGTCATTGTGGGAAACACTTTTGTTTTGCTTTTAACCAGAGCCGTCATATTCATTTCTTCCTTATAGCCTTTCAAGGTGGTTGAAAATACTTCCCTCCTGTTTGCCCCTGATTCAGCCTCTATAACTCGATATGCTTTCCTTTCCCCACATGTTTTGTTGGGAGAGAAGAGCCTTGTTATAGGGGATAATTGTCTTTGCTGCTGCTGTCCCTCTCCAAATTAAATGAGGGATGATGTGAGCTGCAGCACAAGTGAAAACCGCTTTAAAACCAGTTTCTAAAGTGGCCCAGTGGAATGGGGGGAGGGGGAATTGAATACAGCAGTACAGAATAGCACAAAAGGTCCTTGAAAATAGTCAAGGTTATAAGTTTAAAGAGAAACCACCATAGAAATACTGCTGATTTGTCAAACGAATTTAATTTTTCAGTCGATGTGAACTAGGGCTAGCCAAGCCCTTCTTTAAAATGTTCTGCCACAAGAGGGAGTCACGGAGAAAAGAAAATGAACAGCCACACGTAGCAACTGTGAAAAGAGTTCATAGTAAGAGTAATCAACTGAGTGAGCTAATCACATAGGTGTGGTTAATACAGATTTATTCAAAGATTTTTTGAATATTTATTTCTATGCAACCCAGAACGTTCAGCCTCTAGGAGATGATGCCGTGTCAGCTACACAAGTATAATCTCCAATCTTTCAGCTTCTCCCTCTTGCTGGGTTAGCATATTTGTTTTGCCTGCCTGCCTGCCTGCCTGCCTGAGGTTCCAAAATAAAATATGGCAATTGTATTGTTGGAAGAATCTTTATCTGTTGCATTATTGTTCATCACGCAGATGTTTAGAGAAGAGGAAATATGGGGGCCCTCCCAGAAAAATAGTGCCTGTCTTACGTATGGTGTGTGTCATATGCCTCTCCACCCTTTCTCTTAACAAGTTTCTCATGAGAAAGAATGTGACTATTACCTTCATCAACGTCTTGGCTTCCCAGTAGTCCTTTCCCCACCCATATTAGCAGAGGAGCTCAGAAGAATTTGGTGTTCAGTGCCGATCTTGCAGAGTTGTGCACCATAATGAAAGAAGATGTGCTTCCATAGCACTCAAAGACATTCTGCCAGTAACATCATCAAAATAATTCATTAAATGGGAGAGTATTCCTTACAGGCTTTGTACATAAGTTCAACATAAGGACACATTTTTAACATGTTAAATCTATTGCTTTGCTTCATAGCTGTTAAGTAAAGGCAAGTGGTTAATTAAAAGCATTCAAAGAATTAGCCCAAGATCTCCCTGAAAACCAGGTTCATTGACTTAAATGTTTTTGCTTTAAACAGTCTTATCTAAATAGGTAAGATTCTTTAGAAGATAATTGTTAGAGGGAAAGGGAATAAAATGATCAGGGGTGGGAATAAAACAATAAAAGTCTGCCAACCTTAAGTTGAGTCTTGATTTTTTATTGACTTCTTCCAAAACCACTTGTTTTGACCAGATGCATGCATTTCTCCAACAATCCTCCTGTATCCTCTTTCACAATTATCCAGTAGCAATTAATCTGGACATCAAATTGTTCATGTTATCAGCATTCTTCAAAAACCAACAAAAACTAACATTTCATATGAACCATGTTTCAGAGTTCAGTGGACTTTTCCAACTAAAAAGCTGGACTGATACAAAAGAGAAACTCAAGGAGGAAGGAAGCTTGTCAGGGAGCTACGGTTTTGTTGCAAGATGAAAAGAAAAAAAATGGAGGAACAGAGTGAGTGGGAGGGGAGAGAAATCAAAGAGAACGTATTGGGCAGCCTGTTTCCTCTGTCTTCCTGAAGCTGCTCTTTCAAAACTGTGTCTGTGCTCTTCTGGCAGTGTCAGTGCTAGTCAAATCTTTAAACAACAGTGGTGTCATGGTAAGTTTTGAAGTGCATGCACTCATCACGGCAGTCCCCACAGCTACGTCTTTAGACTGATCTTTAGAAAGTCCAAAGATTCTGGCTGCTGCATTGATCAACAATCCAGTTTTGGCAGCTTTTTTCTTACACTGGTCACAGGTATTTGGTAAAGCCAATGGGTCCGAATTGCCCATGGCTGTGACCCCCACTCTCATGCCCAATATCTTTGGTACCAGGAAATAAAAATACATGGTTGGTGGGGAAATTCATTTTTATCCAGCTACTGTGAGGTTTGCAGTAGTGTGAGGGGAACAAGAAAGTCTGGGCAGAGTGGCAGTGGTATCGGAGTCCTTGTTAAGGAAAGTGCTGGTGCTGCGTGCCTGTGAGCCCTGGCTTGGCTGTGCCACCGAAGAGAACCTGCACTCTGTGTACTGGTGCACCACAAAAGGCTCGCAAAACAAAAACAGAGCCTGCCCCCTCTTGGTTGCAAAGAGAAGCAGCCGCTCTGTCTGCGAAGGCTTGAGAGAGGAAGCAGCATCTGCAAAGAGGTGGAGGTCGAAAGCTTCTTTCCTGATGGTGTCTCCACTCTCCTAAGGGGGTCCTTTTGGTGGTTGTGTCATCCTTGCTGAATGTCCTCCCTGGGGCGGAGAGAGGGGATGCCTGGTACCAACTATGCTGTCATTGTCACCCTAGGTGAATACAGTTTTGTTTGTCGGCCATTGCAACAAGGAGTGTGTGAGAGCTAGTTTAAATGATGGCTTTAAATGCTCTGCACAATTTTTATGCTAATGATTATTTTGCTTTCTGTTTTCAGTTTTATACCAATGTTTTTACCTTGTATGGCACCTGCTGGTAGTTCTAAAAGTGTCAAAAATGAAATAAATGGAGAAGGATTTTTAAAACCCGATGTCATAATTGCCAGGTCTGTTGTGTGAGGTTCTTCTCAGTGGAGGATCATCCATTGCTAAATGGAAAGAGGAAACTAGAAAGGGACAATTTACAGCCTCTAAGCCTGGACTTTCCAACATGCTCCCCCTGGACATCTTCCTGGACATTCACAAGGCTTCCAGCCCATCCTGATATTTTATTTATTTCTTATGATGGTGATGATGATGATGATGATTTTATTGGGAGACTAGCATTCTGTAAAGCAAAGTTCTGCCCTCCATCCCCACCTACACACTATTTTGGTCTTCAGAAGCTCAGACCCCACCTTGGCCCTGCACTTAGGTTCTTGGGAACATTACTTTTCTTTTAGCCTCACAAGTTTGACTTCTGGGAAACTTTTCTGACTGGCCATGCCCACGCTGGCAGCCATTTATGACTAGACCCCGCTTTCTGTGGCAGCCATTTTGTGAGTGTGCCCATGACATCCTCTGGTGCTCACTGACCCCAAAAGACTGAGGAGCCCTGTTCTAAGCCATAGAACCACAAAAACCTGCAGCCAACTATATTTGGGAGGTGGCAAAATTAGAACACTCATGCATTTTGGTAACTTTAAAAGGCCACACAATAAATACAAATCAAGACTATCACTAGCAGCATGACTTTGTGGCTATTAGCTC